AACTAATAAATTATCAATTCATATGGCCTTAGGCAGAGGACTTTGTCATTTACCATGTTCCCATAACTCTGTTTCTTTGAATTGTTGAAACCTACACTAGCCTCTTTTTTGTTTTAATTTATTTTTAGTTTGAAGATGATAAAGTAGGTGCTGAGTACCAGACCTCTGAGAACATAGACCCTTAGTGATGTAGCTTGTTTGGTCGCTAATCTAAGGGTACTACACAACAGAGCTGTTTCGGGATAAGGTCCATTATCCCTAACAGTGCTGTCTACACCAGAAGCCTGTTATTAAGGAAGACTCTGGAATAGCAATTTATTTCAAAATTTAGTACTGTGTAGACAGCGCCAAATTTCAAAAAAAGCAATTTTGAAATAAGCTATGCCATTTGCATAGCTCAAATGGTACAGCTTATTTCGAAGTACGCACTACTGTGTAGATGTACTCTATTTGAATCCAATTCAAATGTGCAGAGGGATGTACAGAAAAGTGTGCTGCTTTCATGCAGTCTGTTACTTTGGATAAAGAGAAACATTGGCATCAGTTGAGTAGTGAGCAGTTACCCTGCCTTCCTGGACAGAAGAAAATGGTTCTGGATCTTTTGAGGAGGGAAATGACTCAGAATTCTTGGTGGCTTGGCTTAGAAATTTTAAGCCAAGCTTCCACTGAAGAATTTTGGTGCTCCGTACCAGACTATAGGTGTAGCCTGATCAAGATTTTGCTTAGTTTTGGGAACTAATACCAGTCTGACCTCAGACTCACAATGAAATCTGTGGCTGCCTCTATTTACCTGTCTTTGGCTTTGTTTAATTTTTCATATAATACACATCGTAAACTGTAAGGTGGGGGAAAGATTTGAGTAGATTATGCAACTCAAGTGGTTGCTGCTTCAATAATATGGCAAAATGTGCTTTTAAAAAAACTTTTCAGTGGACTGTGTAAATAGGAATCTGCCTACTGGGTGCTTTAAACCTCTTTTCTCTTTAAAGCACTTTGTAATGCTGTGTATGAAAGATATATTTACTTTTTTTTAAGGCTGTACTACCATAAACATCCATGCACATACTCCTGAATCCATGTGGCCTTTTTGTTGCAAGACTTGCTGTTTTGGGGTGAACGTATATTTTTTTTTTCCTATGCCAGCATTCATGGTGCATAATATTTAAGAACTATTTTAGTACTTTGTTATCCAAAGTAAAACAATAAATTTGGTGAGAAGCCTTTCTGAGGAACAGCAGAATGAAAGGGTCTTTCTCCTCATGTAGGATTGGTATGGCCCTTGCATCAATGCATTCTCTTTCACCTTGAGTAGAACCCCTGCTAATGTGAACCCTTGAACTGTGCTGGAAGCATGAGCCAGTGTAAAGAACATGAGCTAGCACTTCTTTCTGTTCTCCTCCTATATGAGGAACCTTCTGTGATAAGTTACCCTCCCCCTCCTTCCTTTTGCCTTATACGTGACACTACGGAAACTCCCACTGTAAACTGTGGTTACGCTCTCAGATGTGACCAGCGACATAGATAACCTGTTTCTTCTGCCCTGTAGGGCAGCGGCCCGCATCTAGGCATCTGAGCACTGCACCATTTTGTAGCCTTTTTCAAGTCATTTTTAAATCTTTTGTTTCACTTTATTGTTCCAGGTGCTAGCATGGGAAGTTGCCACCAAATAGGTGACTCTGTAGCAGTGGTCTCCAAACTTTTTAAGCACAATATTGCTTTTTGAACTTAAGTGCAATCTAAGATCTACCTCAAATATAAATACCCTTGTCCCATCTCCTTCCCTCACCTTCTCTGAGGCCCCGCCCCTGCTCACTCCATCCTCCCTCTTGCCTATCCTCACTCACTTTCATCAGGCTGGGGCAGAGGGTTGGGGTGCAGACTCTCCTCTTGGATTGAGGGATCTGGAGTGTGAGAGGGGCTCTGAGCTACTCTTGGGGCAGGTAGTTGGGGTGCAGGAGGAGGGTTCATGACTGGGGTAGGAGTTTAGGATGTGGGTGCCAGCTGGCCACTGATTATCTCAGGTGGCTCCCGGTTGGTGGTATAGTGGGGCTAAAGCATGCTCACCCCTGCCCTGACCCACTCCCTAAAGCAGCCAGCAAACTCCATCCCAGGTCCTGTTGTGTCCCCTCTCTGCTTTGTGGAGAAAGGATACAGAGTGGGAGGGGGCACCTTAACATCAGCACCCTTCTCTTCCTCTCCTGACCTGCACAACAAGCAGGAGGCTCCCCAGGGGGAGGAGCAGCTCCAAGGCAAAGGGCAGGAAATGAGCAGCTGAAATGCTTCACTTGATAGCCTCTTAGCCAAACCAGTCAGGATCACCTGTCAGAGGCTCTAAGAACTACCAGTAGATAGCCTCTCAAGTACTTGGATTTTGGTGTGTACTGTTTTTTGCCAGATTCAAAGATGAATCTTTGAAATAGCAATCTGTATCTCCAGCTGTAATGCTAGGATAAATGTTAAGATCCTGGCCACAATAGTATGGAGACTTCTGGATGTAAAGTCAGGTGAGCTATTCAATATGACATTACCAGATTTTGCTCCTAGTCTTTGAATTGAATAAAGAGACATGAGGGAAATCTTGTTCTCTAGGCTGAATTTGTTACATGGCTCCAGATTTTGTTTGTCTGGCTAAGCACAAAGATTCTTCTGCCATTAGCAACCATGTTCATGTCTCAGGCCCAACTAAACTAAACTGAAACTGCACTGGACAAGTAGTGCCTTGTTGCATGCACCTGGCTGAGTTGTGTCTGCTAATGAAATGAGTCCGCTGGCTGATTGGCTGCAGGAGGAAACCTTCTGTTACATGGCTCCAGATTTTGTTTGTCTGGCTAAGCACAAAGATTCTTCTGCCATTAGCAACCATGTTCATGTCTCAGGCCCAACTAAACTAAACTGAAACTGCACTGGACAAGTAGTGCCTTGTTGCATGCACCTGGCTGAGTTGTGTCTGCTAATGAAATGAGTCCGCTGGCTGATTGGCTGCAGGAGGAAACCTTCCCCCCCCCCCCCCCCCCCGATCGTCACTGTTGCCCCTGTCCTACATCAAGCATACTAGGGTAGGATAGTGTCATAGGCACTGTTTTTAGGCTTAGGAGATGAGGACTTAATTTTTACCCAGAAAAGGTCTGTCTTCTAATACCTAGCCGCCACATGGTCTTTCACTTCACTGGCCAAAAGGGCGGGAACGATGGGTGGAGGTGGGTAGTGACAAAGCTGCAGGACTTCTTCATGGTGAGTTAGTCACTGTTGACGTGCTGACATTGAATCTGGCCTACCTCAAGGGAAGCTGTTGTATTGTTTTCACCTCTCTCAGGTGTTTGGAGCAAACCAATTATTTTTTTAAAAGCATTGGGCTATATCAGAGAATATTAATCTAGTGTGATGCTGGGATTTTTGTGACGCAGAATGAGAAACCCAGTAACTTCTAAATACTTGTAAGAATTGCATCATTTTAATCTGAGCGTAACCTACAGGCTATAGCAATGCTGGCAAAAACTGGACCTGTAATTCTCCATCTGTGGATGCTGTAGCATAGGAAAGTCTAGGATGGTTTTTACTACAGGCAGTCCCCGAGTTAGGCAGATCTGACTTACGTCGGATCCGCAGTTACAAACGGGGCTTTTCTTGCCCCGGAGGACGCGAGCGGCGGGACGCCCAGATGCGCCGCAGTCCCACTGCCCGCGTCCTCCGGGGCGAGAAAAGCTGCTCCCTGTCTCCCTGGGCTGCTGGGCGTCTGGGCTGTCCCGCCACCCGCGTCCTCCGTGGCTTTGCTCCACGTCTCCCTGGTCTGCTGGGGGCCCCCCCCTCCCCCCGCAGACCTGGGAGACGCGGGGCAGCTTTTC